GGTCAGCAAGGGATGGGCAGGGCCCCTTCCACACCCTGCCAAAACAGTGCAACTATTTATATAAGCTCCATCATTCATTGTTTAAAGCATCAGATCTCTTGGCTAATTTCCATAAGTTTACCCATCCAGGTCCATTTTGGATTGGAAGAAGGGCACCAAGGCACAGGAGAGACATGACAGATTTGTAACTGTGCTTCTTGGTCCTGCCCTTGGTAAGGTGAACTAACCAGCCAGCCATACATGGTGCCTCAGCCTCTGTGTATGTTTGAATGTTCCTTGAAGTGCAAAGTCTAGAACCAGGGCTACGAAGTATTAGAAAGATCTTATCCCTAAGGTAGTACTTCCAAGCCAGATGTGTAGGTAGATGAGTAGATAAGGCAGTGTTTTGACTTGAAAAGGCCTGGTAGTCCACTTATAATTTTAATTGTTTAATTCATTGCATGGAATCTCTTCTATGTATCAGGCATTTTACTAGGCTCTGATCTAATCCTTCAAGTTTGCAGTGTACCCCATGTCTATAACTTAGGTACTCAAGAATCTAGTGAAGTGTCGGTGTCGCTCCCGGCCAGCAGGAAAAACACACGACAGATTCTGACGGTGTGCAACCTTGTCTTTATTTGTCTCCGCGTGGGCCCCGCGAGGCCTCTGCTCTGCCACCAGTCCTTTCTTACCGGTGGACTTTCTCTATCTCTCTCTGTGCTTCTCTCTCGTAGCGGGAGAGGCACTCACTTTTATAGGGTAACAGTGGCCAATCAGTTTAAAGCGCGCGATGCGGGCTGACTGGCTAACATCAGTTGTTGCTAGGCAGACTATTCTATTGCGCGGGCTGCTTACGTCGCCAGGGCAATCAGGGGGCAGGAAGCAGGCGCCAACTTGGCTCACTCGATGGGAGGGGTAACTTAGCTCAGGCTTTGCTCCTTCCTACAGGCCTCACGTCTGCCAAGTAAAGCGACCGGTGTCGGCCGCGGCTCCCAACATCTCCCCCTATTTTATTTATTTTGAATGAATGTATGCATCGCAGCCTGCCCTGGATTGAGTGCAGAGGCTTATGCCCTGTGTTGAGGCCCACCGTAGGCCCTTGGCTTGGACCCTGGTCGGCCGTCCCTGGGTCCGCCAAGGCCTTGAGACCCTCGTCCTTTTTCCAGGGCCAGGAGTGAACTGGACGGAACCTGGATGCACATAGGCATGCACTCATGCCCCTCCGTGTGATCCCCTCGGAGAGGCATCTAGATCTGGGCAGATTCTAGTAATCCAGCGGCTTTCGTGCAGTATGGGGTAGGGCCTGGCTTAGGTCGAGTCGTGCTGGGGAGGCACGCTCTTACCCGTCATTGACTCACCCACCCTGCTGTGTGGTGTCAATAGGGAAGGAATGCGGAAGACCCGCCACATCTAGACCCGGTCGTAGGCCAGTCGAGCGAGCCATGCGTAAGCCTGGGGGTCATTGTGCCCATCACGGGCTGCTGCCAGGGCCGATGGGCAACCAGGCGTACTTGACGCCGGGCCGCTGCAAGGCGCCCATTAATAAATGATGTGACCCATCGGAGCAAGCATGGTCCTATAAGCAGGAGCAAGAACAAGGAGCATAGAGGGCCTAACAAGGGTAGCACATAGGGGAGCAAGCCGTTCCAGGCCCCCAAAAAGGGATTGTCCTGCAGTTCTTTTAGGGCTCATCTTGTTGTTGGGTCTGCGGTTGGCCTCTGGTGGAACAGGCCTGATCTTCAGTCGAGGGACTTGTCGCGTCAACCTCTCTGGGACCCACAGTGGTTCTCGTCCCGGTTCCTGCGGAAAAACACAAACCGCGCCTCGGTTCCAGCTGATTACCAGATCCGGGCCCATCCATTGTCCTGTCAGGACGTCCTTCCATTTAACCCATCCTTTATTTTTTGGGGATGGGGTACAATGTGCCATAGCTGGGGAGCAATTTTCACTGTTTAAGTTTAACCGTGCCTTTGGGGGTAGGCCTTGGCTTACTCCCCCTTTTTGTTTTTTATTTTATTTATTTATTTATTTTTTTTTTTTTTTTTTTTTATCGGTACCAGGGATCGAACTCGCGATTGCCTGCTTACAAGGCAGGCACTTATGCCGCTGAGCTAAATCCCCAGCCCCTGTTTCCTCGACCGGCGTTTCTCTCAGCCTGCTCGGCAGAGAACTCTGTGTACCATGCTCGCCAATCAAGATAACTACCCGAAGGAAGGCATGCCTTGGCCAGCTGCATCCAATCACCCGGTGTAAGAGGCTGAGAGGCAAGATTCTCTAGCATAGCTATGGTATAAGGAGCTGTGGGCCCGAAGGTCGTGACAGCGCTTTTTAATTCTCTAATCTGTTTTATTTCAAACGGTTCCCAAACATTGCGCCCTTGGCCTGGGGCCATTTGCACAGGATATACTCCATAAGGACCGTAATCTATTCCTTGTATCGGTGGATCCCCTCTGGGCCATCGTCCACCCCTCCATAGCCGCCCATGAAAATACCATCTGCCCCATGGCGCGACGTCATAGGACGGCGGTCGCGACAGAGTGGAACGGGGCGTCACTTCCTGTGCCGGCTGAGAGAAGGGAGGGTCCCCTGTAGCGGCCTCTCGGCGGGGAACCACTTCTGGAAAAGAGCTCCAGGGCGGAGCGGATGGCTCTCTATCTCCTCCCCGCCAGGAGGCGCTCGGGGGTCCTTTCTCCTCTCTTTGCTTTTCTCGGGCGGCGCACGCACACAATTCGCGGCGCAACTCGGCATAGGGGTTTTGGGCCTCTCGGCTTCCTGCCCCACCTTCTAGTTCCTCCTCGCTATCTGAGTCGGAGGACTCCAGAGCTTGGGTGTCCTCTATCTTTCCCTGGATCTTCTCCCCCTGGACAGATCCCTCCCGAGAGCATTCCGACTTTGCCTGCTCAAAAGCCTTGCGTGCGTCCATGATTTCCGCGTCTCTAACTGCCGACGGGAACCCCTTCCCCTCCCCTTCAAGACACGCATGTATCATTTCCCACAGGGGGCGAATAGGTGGCGAAATATCGCCTCCCAATTCCGCCGAGGCGAGGTCCCCGCCTAACTTCTCCCATGACGGCAGGTTTAAATGCCCTGTGGGTAAAAACCAGGGAGCCACCCTATCTACCTCCGCTATGAATAGTTCCAGTGTTTTTTGACCTACCCTGAGGTCTCTAGCTTTTAAAAGCTTTTTAAGGGCCTTTACCAAGGGCCGTGCCTCCGTGCTCGGTAAATTACCCATCCTCAACCTCTGAGGGCTGTAACTCACCGCGTGTGACTTAGAGAACCCGTCACCTACGCGTGAGCCTGAGGGGAGTCTAAAAGCCCTGTAGGTGCGCGCCACCCAGAGCCCAGGCTTATCCCCCACTCACCTGTCCGGCAGCACCACGCTGGAGCGTTGCACACCACCGAGGGGAGTGATCAGTTCCCTGTACGGGCCACCAGATGTCGGTGTCGCTCCCGGCCGGCAGGAAAAACACACGACAGATTCTGACGGTGTGCAACCTTGTCTTTATTTGTCTCCGCGTGGGCCCCGCGAGGCCTCTGCTCTGCCACCAGTCCTTTCTTACCGGTGGACTTTCTCTATCTCTCTCTGTGCTTCTCTCTCGTAGCGGGAGAGGCACTCACTTTTATAGGGTAACAGTGGCCAATCAGTTTAAAGCGCGCGATGCGGGCTGACTGGCTAACATCAGTTGTTGCTAGGCAGACTATTCTATTGCGCGGGCTGCTTACGTCGCCAGGGCAATCAGGGGGCAGGAAGCAGGCGCCAACTTGGCTCACTCGATGGGAGGGGTAACTTAGCTCAGGCTTTGCTCCTTCCTACAGGCCTCACGTCCGCCAAGTAAAGCGACCGGTGTCGGCCGCGGCTCCCAACAGTGAAGTGACAGAATTGTACTCAAATATCCCCAATTGGCCAGCTGGGGATCTGGAGAGGCTTGGTGGGGGATACAATTGCTTAAACTGTCTTAAGCATAAAGCCCCATCCCATTCACCAGCCATCTTTTAACTTCTATTACTAATGCCCTGTGTGAGCTCATCAAATGATTAGGCAAACCTCGGTTTCTTCATCTTCAAAATGGGGCAATAATCTGTAGAGAGGGCCTTTGTGGGTCCTATATGTCCTATCTGTCACTTTGGTGCTATATTCAATTTCTGCCCCCATGTTAGAACATGTACACTAGTTTCCTCCACATACCATACAAAGTCATCACAGAACTGAAGAATATGGAAAACAGAGGTGATGGGAGTAGAAGGGAGATTCTGTTGCTGACAGTGAATTTGGCCTCCAAGAAAGATGAGGACAGAGGTCATTTAAAGAAAGACTAGGGTAGCAGTGGAGTTGAACTTACACGGTATTCTAATTTAAGCACTTTTATGTATTCGATCATCCTTCCAAAGCCCCTTTTCTTCCCCTGTCTTGAAGTGGGAGCTAAGCAGCATCGCTGCCCTCTTCCTCATGCAGTTTATCTGGAGGACAAAGCCACTGAGCAATGGACTGTCCTTAATGACCTGTATCCCTCAAAGTCTGGGATCACCGTCATATCGCTCAGGGGAAAACTGACCCAAGTGTTTGCCTGCACTTCTTTATTAAAGTCCCAACTGTGGTACACCTTTGGGGAGAGGTTACCAGCTGCATTAAGTTTTGTCCTTGATGAATAAAGAAGGACTTCATTTTACTTATCCTAACCTATCCCTTAGGGATTCCCAGTGAGCTGTGCTGCCTCTCTCTTTCCCTGCTCCCTCCTTCTGGTCCAACTAACTGTGGTTACTTTCTGGGGCTGGGCTGAACTCCAAATATCTGGATGTGTTTGGTGGTAATTCGTGCACACTACCAGGGTGCACCATTTCTTAGTTCTCAGGATATTAATATTAGGGAGTGGGGAGTGAGCTGACAGGTCATTTGAATCCAAAATGGAGTTGCTTTAGCCCTGTGCTTTGACAGAAAAAAACCAAGCCTATTTCTCAGACACCCATAATTGCTCTTGTGATAGCTCGGACCCCAGAATAAAACCCAAGGAAGCAAGAAATTAAAATTTGGGGAGCAAAGGCTTTATTTTAGGCCAGGCCTGGCGTCACAGTCTCCAGGAGCCAATTTGGAGACTGCGCATCTCACAGCTAAAGGCAGTGACTTATAAAGCAGAAAACCACAGGAATGCTGTTACTATTGACACAGTTAGATTGCAGCTGGCAGCTGGACCTTACAGAACTTTCTGTAATTTCCTGAGGTTAATCATTTCTTAAAGAACAACAGGCACTGCTTTTGTAAAGAACAGCACAATTAGCACAATTAGCGCAATTTATGATGGGCCACCAGGTAGGGAAGGGGTTTACCAGGAACTGATACCTCAGACCTTTTTTATGGCCTTTCAGGAAATTGAAACTTAACCTAGTTAGATGTGAAGGGGGAAGGGGGAAGGGAGCAGCACGGCGCTTACAAAACAGGCAACGCGGCGCAATCAGTTAGGGCTTAAGTTATAACAGCTCTCAGTGCAAGCTTGCACTACCTCAAGCAGTTTTTGAATTTTGCATCTACGCCAAAGTTTTTCCTATCAGTTCATATTTTGTGCTCATTAAGAGACAAGCAATATACTGGTGCTACACAACAACGCCTCCTCTCCAGCCCTCCAGGCCTGGTTGTGACACAGAGCCCCTCCTCCCAAAGGAGCTGGCCCGCGCAGGCGCATTGAAGCAGACGGGGCGACGCCGGGCACTGACGTCATCAGAAGAGGCCGGGAGGCCTGTAAATTGAGAGGGAGCAAGTACCTTTGTTGTGACCTTAGCAAAGCTTACTAGTTGGCGCTGTGTCCTTTCTCTCCTCGGTGTTTTTGAAGCCAGCAAATTATTTCTGGTGGCCTTTTGAGAGCGCTGATGCGAAGCTTTTACCTAAGAGCTCATCCTGAGGAGAATGGAGAAGGTAACTGCAAGTCCGGGCGACCCCGGATCTCTGACCGCGACCGTTCGCCCTCAGCTGGCCTGGGGGTGTAGGGCCGTAGCTTTCCGACCGGGTGAGGAGCAGCTCTTCTCTGCTTACTTCTCCTCTTTAGATTCTCTTTAATAAATATAATAGATGTTTATGGTAGGTCTTCTATGTTATACCCTCACTGCGGCTGTTTATTATGTCTAGAACCTCTCGGCAGATGCTATATAATTGTTTCCACAATCGCTAAGGTGATAGACTCATATTTGAACCATATTGTTTAGTTCATCTTCCTTAAAATCACTGTCCTTTGAAAGGTTCTGTATCATTTGGGGTATTACTTCCCTTGCCTGTTTACTTATATATTCTGTGATGCGATCTCTTGGGATTCACTTGCCGCTGTCTTGTGGAGTAGTGATTTTTCATTTTTCTATATTCTTTGACTATTAGTAAGTTCTTTTTCCTAGTTGCAGTACCACTAGATAATTGTTTTAAAGGATGGACAAATAGTACTGGGAAAAATTGATAACAATGATGATAAAAATTGTCAAATACAAAATAAAAGGAGTCATCTATATCTTGATAAAGGCATCTACAAGAAAACCTAAAACCAACATCGTATCCATAAGATAAGAAAGCAAGAAAATTTGCTCTTACTACTCACAAACTATATTGCACTGGAGGTTTTGACCAGTGCAATAAGAAAACCAAAGTGGAAAACAAGAAATATAACTGCGCCTATTTTCAACCTGTGTATGTAAACAATCTCTTAGCACTTGCCAAAGGAGCTTCTACAAATAATAAATAATTGGGGCATAAGATACAGGGTATACCATAAAAATAAATTATATTTACTGAAGACAATCTAAAGAGGACAAATAAGCAGAGAAGAAATGTTCATTAATCAGTATGAAGGCTCTGATGTGATACCGCAATACCAGCTAAGGAAGAAAGGTCTCAGGCAGAGAACAAGGATCACCTGGGCCTCAGGCTTACCTTCTTTATTTTGCTCAGAATGAACTATTCGGTGAAAGTTTTGGCATCAGCTCTTGTTAAAAGTCCACCATACAAGATAGCTTCCTTGGACAGCACTATGGAGAGAAGGTACCCACAGTCACCTACAAAACTTTGCTGTGGTCCCAAAGAAGTCACCTGTTAATTGCAAGTTCTCAGGTCTTGTATGTATTTCCTGTAGACACCATCTGATGATGTTAGTGTGATCTGTGCTGTTTTAGCTCCAGTGCACCTGAGCATGCCAGCTCCCATAGGTAAGACTGTTGAAGAATCACAGCCACTCCTGGAGTGCTGGAGGGAAAGCATCACTGCTGTCTGCAGATTTAGGCTTTCAGTGGTGCTAGCATTCCACATATGTCTTTTTTTTTTTTTTTTTTTTTTTTTTTGTCTTTTTCGTTTTTATTGGTACCAGGGATCAAACTCACGACTGCACACTTGCAAGGCAGGCGTTTATGCCGCTGAGCTAAATCCCCAACCCCCACATATGTCTTAATCAATGCCAAATATGAGGTGATAGGAAAAAAACTGGCATAGACATAAAACTCAAATGTTACTTGAGGTGGTACAAACCTGCAATGCCAGAAATTGTGTGCCTCAGTGAGAAATAGATTTTGTCTTTTCTTTCAAAGCAACAGGCCAAAGGAACTCCATTTTGGATTTAGATTACCTTGCCATGTACTCACAACCCAACCCCTAATGTTAATATCCTGAGCTCCAAGAAATGGTGACTGTTGCAGTTACTTTTCTCTCATTGTTGAGACAAAATACCTGATTCCCCAAAAGAAGGAAGGAAAGGTTTATTTAGCTTACAATTTGTGTAGGTTTCAGTCCATACTCAGGTGGCTCCAATGCAGGGTAGTACAGTTGAGGGACAAATTTTTATGCTGGCCACAAGTGACAAGAGCAAAAGGGCGCCTCTCTCTCCCTCGTATTGCATTCTGGCTACCCACCACAAGGCGGTGCAACCCCACCAACCCCAGCACTAGGAAATGAAGCAATTTCAAATGTAAGATTCAGCTGCTGTTCAAAAGCCCACCCCCTGTGACTGCATAGGGCTTTGATGGGACATCCAGACACAAACCATAGCATTCTGCCCCTGACTTCCTAAAGACTCAAGCACATCCCTTAATTGGAAAGGAATTTAGTCCATCTGCACGAGTTACCAAAGTCCTAACAGTTTCAGCATTGCTGAAAAGTCCAAGTCCAAAATCTCATCCGAGATGTGAGACAGTCTCTTAGCTGTGAGCCTCTTTATAAGTGAAAACAAATTTAAACACTTCCAATATACAATGACACAAGATAAACTTTACAATTTAAAAATGTACAAACAGATGCAAAGGATTAAAATCAAAATAAGTTCAAACTCCAACAGGCCAAACATTAAGTGCTGTAGTTCTATATGGAACATCTGAAGCTATTTGTGGTAACTTGTAAGCTCCAAAAAGCTTGTGTATCTTCACCCATTGTGCACATCCAGTGGCAGTAGCTCCCAGGGCTTCTGCCTTAAGCCTGCTCTTCTCAATCCTTGCAGCTTTCCTTCGATGACCCATGATCCTGGCTTTTCCAGACTTTTGGGTTTTCCACGGCACCTTTGTCTTAATACACCTTGACACACTGCCCTCTCAGGGCACACTCCCTGGCCTCCCAGCCTTCTGAAATTGGGGTGAGAAGCCTTTTAATCTCAGAACGTGTGCATTCTCCATGCACCTAAAATCAGCATGAAGATGATGATGCCAAGGTCTGCTGCCAGGAAAGCCAGGCTTTTCTCTTGCATCCCTGTAAGGGTTGAGTACCTAGATTTCTGGGCACTCTGCCCATGATTTTGAGGAACAAATTCTCTGAGTTATTGCCATTCTGGAATCTGGTGTAGCAGCCACCCTTAGAACTTGTGTAGTTGCTGCCACAATTCTGGAATATCACACTCTGGCTGTCTACTCAAAGCAAAACCTTTCATCTTTGCAGTTTTGAGGTTGCAAATGGTGAAATTTTGTTGCTTCTTGTGATGCTCTCAAGACTCCTTTTCATTCTCCTATTCCTTCTCAATAGAGATCTCAGCTCCATCTTTACAGTCCACAGCTTTACTGAAGATTTTTTCCTGGCCAAACTCACAATGTTTTAAATTATCCTACTGGGCCCTTTGCTTTTGATTTGCAACATAAATCTATCTAAAAGCCTCCCACAGTAGCCATGCCAGTGCCTCAACATTTGACTATCTTGAAATTTCTTCTCCCTTATTAGTTAGTCTGTTGCCCTTACTCCCAGTCTCAGGCAAAGTCTCTGGACCTGAGCAAAATACAGATACTTTTTGCCAAGCAATAACATACACTGTCTAGAGCCTTACAACTAATGCAGTCTTTTCCAGCAGAAATCTTGCAAGCCTCATCTCTACTAGCAGGATTTCTATCAGCTTTCTGGTCTTCTGAGTTCTGACCAGAATCTCTCATAGAGAACAGCCTAAAGTGTTCCAGTGCTACTCTTTCAGGTGACATCTCCAAACTTTCCCAGTGTTTCCCACAATCCATCTCTGAAGGTCTTGACCCACATGGTCAGATATAGTCACAGCAATGACATCACTCTTACTACCAGATTCTGTGGTAGTTACTTTTCTCTCATTGCTGAGACAAAATACCTGACACCCAGTATGAAAGAAAAAATATTTATTTAGCCTATAACTGGAGGTTATAGCTGGCTCCAAGGCAGGGTGGTGTGACTGAGGGGCCATCTTTCATGACAGCCACAAGTGACACAAGAAAAAGGGAGAAAAGATGCAGAGCACAACTCTCTTCTTTCCTTACGTTGCATTCCAGCTACCCACTCCAGGGCAGGTGCAGCACTCACATCACCAAACCCAGCGTGATACAATGAATCAGTCACAAATGCTAGATTCAGCCAACTTCAAAAGGTCACTCCCCATGACTGCATGAGTCTTTGTGGGACATCCAGACAAAAACCATTACAGTGACTGTACTTTTTAGCAGAACACAGCTAGTTTCCAAGATAAGATCCAAGGTCTTTCCACTCCAAACTCCAATCCTCTTTGTCTATCTGATCCAACAATTTAACCCCCAATCCTTGCACCACCAATTTACCAACTTCCAAAGACTCTAAGCCTCTGAAATCAGTCACTAAAATTAAGGGTAGTTGCTTTCCACATGTTAGGGCTTAAAACTCCAGTTCCCCCAATGTTCATGGTATCTGCTACCTCATTACTGGGATATGCTTGCAATCTTTTGCAAACAACAAAACAAAACAAATCACAATGCTTTGTCAAAATTCCTGGATGTCATCATGCCTTATCACCTCATCATGTGCATTGACATATTCAGTCTGGGTACTGATTTCCAACAGGTTGAAGCCAAAGAAGTATAAGTTTGAGTCTAGCCTGTATTATAAACACACACACACACACACACACACACACAAAGAACAGCAGTGAACCTCAACTACCTCAACTAAATTAGGCAGTTGAGGAGGCTGGGTGGGCATAGGTCAGTGGTAAGTACTTACCTACCATATGCAAGGCTTGCCTTTAATTTCTGGTGCTGCAAAACCAAAAACAAAAGATATGAGTTTCAGAGACTGCAGTCTGAATTTGACTTTATCCAATGCACTGACATCATGGTAAGCACATGTGAAGAAAATGGGTATCTACTATAGGAGAGACAGGAATGAGAGAATGCAGAAGGGATGCAGACAAAACAAAACAAACAAACAAAAACCAGGGGCCCGGAGCCACATTTGGTGATTCATGCTAGTGTGGCTCAACTAGACACCCAGAAATGTGCTTTACAATTATCCTATACATCTCTCTGGGCTAACAATTGCAAAGAAGAGAATCACAGCACTCCATATAATTTGCTTTAGTAATATTAATATTCAAAGAAGGAGGACTTTAACCTTTGAGGAGGAAACTTCTGTAGAACTACAGTTTGAAGTCCTGGTATATGTCTGCCTCATCACTGCATTGACCAGAGGTCCAAGGCTGTGACTTCATTTGAGCAATTATTTCAGTTCTCATAGCTGGTAATTAGCTTGTTGTCAATATTCAGAGATTTTTTTTTTTGATCCTGTAAAAAATACAAATCTTGTCTAATGGAATTGCAAATTTGATTTCCTTTCCTCTTTACTCTTTTGCAGAATATAGCTATCATTTACTTTTAGTTTTCTATCAGCAAAGTAACTGTTTTCCTTGCAAGGAGTGAGGTATATTCACTTTATTGAATAAAAGGAAATAGCTTAAGACTGTGAAAATCTTGACAATGAAACCAGCTGTCTCATTTCCAAACATTACTGTAAAAAGGACAGTCCTCCTTCCATTCCATTCTGTCCTGTCCTGTCCTGCACTGATGATGTTCTCTTGCGTCATGGCACAGATTCTTCCATAAGACACTGGCCATGGAATCTCCTGAGCACATGAGTGACTATTTCAGGAAGAGCACACTAACTCCATTAAGAAAACAGGGCAGATCCAGAAAGCTAGGAGTAAGTAAACTGCTTAAATCCAGTTATTCTTAGGCGAGGTGAGGTTGATATTGTGAGAAACAGCATTATCCAGAAGTTCCTGGATGTCAAATTATCACTTGCGCTCTAGCCAAGCAGGCAAGAGTTTACTTTTCCCTTACTCTACACAGAGGAAGAGCAATAAATCAGGAGCCAGTCTGCAATGAACAAGCCGGCTGTATGAAAACAATCAGGTGAGCCATTGTGGCCAGCGACTCCGGTGTCATGACTCCCTGTCCAGATACAGTGCCCAGAGTTCCTCGGTTCATTAGATTGCCCTCTGGGACTTCTGCCGCTGCAGGCCGCGTGGGAAGGACTCGGGGACACCGGGAAGCCGCGCAGTGGTGATGGTGCGGGACGGAAGCCGGGGAAGGGATGGGGTCGGGCTGAGGTCTGAGAGGAGGCGGCCGGAACCGGCTCTGGGAGCCGCAGCCTCCCGCCGAGCTCCGGACCCCGAGGTCCTCCGGGCTCTGGGGCTTTTGCCACTGTTCCCTCGGCGGGGTCCGGGTCACCGCCGTGTCCGTGAGCCCGTCCCCACCGTGACACTGCCCGCCCACGGTGCCGTCCGGTGTGGCCCGGCAGCGCCTCGGCGGTGTGGGGAGAGCGGGGCTCGGGGCGGTCTGGTTCAGGGCGGCCTGGAGCTGGTGCGGCTGCGGGCGCTGGGTCCCTGGTCTCGGTGCTTTCAGTAGCAGAGCTGGGGATGTGATGGTTATAAATGTCTGCGAGGGGGTCTCAGACCCACACCTCCTCTCAGACCTCTGCCTTTTTCTATTCACACTGAAGCCCAGAGTTTCCAGTGTTTCCCCAGATTGCCAGCCTCATAGGAGATGTTGACAAGAGCCATGAGAATGTAAGAAAGGCTTAACATTGCAGGTGACTTGGGAGGATCATTCATTGCATACTCAGCAGTCCAAAAAATTATCACCCTAGTTACATCTGTCAGACCCCCTACTGACAATGATAAAGAACAGAGCCTGTGGTTTCAGGCATTGTGGGTTAGAGTTAGGCTTCAAAGTAGGATGTTAATGTTCCCTCTGGTGGCTCTGGGTTGTGGGTGTCCAAACTCTCTTGCTGGGCTTTTCTCTGACATGAGAAGAGGAAGACAAATAGAAGACCAATGCCAATCAAAACTGTATTGCAAGAAGCAATGCAGACACTTCAGGAGAGGAGCTGAGTCACAACGCAGGGGTAGTTTACCGTTTTGGGGTGTGGGTGCCCTATCTTCACCCCTTCGGAGGGTCACTTTGTGACTGGTTATGGCACTGATTGCTAGGGATCTGACTTGATGGGCTACAGGAGAATTTCCCAGAAACTAGTTTCCCAACTCATTTTGGGGAAATTACCTACTGAAGAGGGAGCTTACAGAAGCAGGACATGGCTGACACAGACACAAGAAGAATGAAATCGCAGGCTGTCAGCACGAGTGTTTACTGTGTCACAGGCCACATCTCCTCTCCTTTCTTCAGAGCTCAGTCCCTTATGTAACCCACCCACTAGGCCTCACCTTTCGCTACATTAGGAGAGTTTTCACTGTAAATAAGAATACCACCCTGATTCTTGGAATCATCCTGAGTGGGTGGCCAAGTGGCTGCTCAATCCAGAGCTAATTGGAGACATCCAGCTCACAGTAATTACTCGGTTTAATGCCCACCTCTCACAGGTGACTCTGTGTATGTAAAATGACCACTTGAAACTCAGGCAGTCAAACATATTTTCCTCCTGTGTAAGGTTTAGAGGAAACTTAGATTTTAGAGGAAGAGTTATTTTGCCCTTGCAGTTCCTGGAAACTGGGGAGCTCAGCAGGGAGTGGATGCAGCTCCTAGTAGGGAAAGCTGCATTCCGTGTTTCCTTGGGAATTCAGTCTTGTTCTATCTATAGTTCACTGCATCCTCTTACTTTATTTCTCATTATTATGGCTTATTTCTCAACTCTATGTCAGGCATCCCCCCCTAGCCATGTGCCTTATGCTTAAGGTAGCTAAATAAAGTATTCTTTATAAACAATGTTTAAATGAGGCCTTCCAGTGAGGTTAGAATGCTCAGAAAAATGGTGGGAATGTTAGTGTATTGTGAATGTGGAAATGGGCAGTCTTTTCTGAAAAAGGAAATAAATAAGTCCACTTTATAGCAACCCTTATTCATGGAAACCCTTTTGTTATAATACGTACGTACACTTGTTTCACAATGGTTTGAAAACTTGGTACACAGGGCTATGAGCCTGCCCACCTGCCATAAAACTTTCATCTATGGGCTTTCCAGACCCAGAATGCAGTCTGCACGGCCGCCATGACCTCATCAAAGTACCGAATTTTGTTAGATCACAAGGTCCACCCCCACCGATGGTGTGATGACAGTGTGCTTCAGGGATAAAATGCGGCCAGCTCAGCTTGGTTGCTTGGCGTTGTCTGGCTGCACTCTCTTCTGCATAAGGAAAGTTTAATTCAATGATTATTATTGCATGAAGGACAACTGATAACTTGTGCACAACCTTTATATTAATTACTTCTCACAATACTATTTGCCACATGAAATAAACCAAAATGACTATAGTTTTTCCACATAATAAACACTGATGTGAATTTCTTCCCAGTGTGAGTCCTTTCATGTATTTGCCAGTGATGTTTTCTGCTGAAACCTTTCCCACATTGCTTATGTACATATGGTTTCTCCACAGTGTGAGTCTGTTCCTGATTTTGGCAAACACCACTTGTTCTCAAAGCTTTGCCACACTGCATACATGCATAGGCTTTCTCCCCATGTATTTGACAATGATGTTCACTTCTGAAAGCTTCCCCGAATTGCTTACATACACAGAGCTTCTCCCCATTGCTAGTTCTTTTATGATTATCCATGGAATTGTTAGTGAAAGATTTTCTATAGTATTTATCTACATGGGTTTTATCTCCAGAGTGAGCTGTTTCATCTGTCTGAATATCATAGTGAGTGTTAAAATCTTTTCCCCATGGTACACATGTGTACATACTCACTTTTCTATGATGTCTTTTCCCAATTTGATCATCACTGAGTATAATGAATGATTTGACATCTGGCTTCTCCAAAATGGTAATATTTTTAGTGTAATTAGAGCAATAATTTGCACATGGCATATATTCATGGAGTTTCTCCTCAAGAGTCACCTTTGCATATTTCTGAAAAGACTTGAGTTTCGTGAGTGACTTGCCATATTCATCATAGTTAGACTGCTTCTCTTGAAATTCCTGCTGCTCATACAGTTTCAGTACAGTGTTATCCATGAAGGGTCCATCTGCTGATGAATGACCAAACAGGGGCCTTCTGGAGAAGCATTCACCTGGGTGTATTGAAACTACTGCCATAAGCACATTTGTATCTGGAGTCTGAGAAACCATATTGCCATGTTGATACCATAACTTATATTGACAGGATTGTTCTACCTCTTCGCTTCTGTAAAAAGACAGAGCACCAAAACAATAAGTCACATTTAATAGTGTCTTTTAGCAATGATTCACAATGAGGAGATCTGCTTTGGTGCCCTTAAAAATATTTAGTCTAGGGGCTGGGGATTTAGCTCAGCGGCATAAGCGCCTGCCTTGCAAGCAGGCAGTCATGAGTTCGATCCCTGGTACCGATAAAAAAAGAAAAAAAAATATTTAGTCTTCCACTTATTGTATACTTTGCATGATTGCTTGGACACAGCTTTTACCCCAACAGCAGGATTCACTTGGGAGTCTGTAATCAACCCGTTTGCAATACACAATACTTAATTTAATTTTGAGAAAACTCATCTTAATGAAATATGTTCCATCTACTGATGATTTCTGACAACTTTTCCTTCATGACTCCATCCCCTCTCCTTCCACTGAGCCTGTTTGCCAATTCCAAAATGTCTACCTCTGCCTTTCCCTCCATCTCTCCTCTATTTACTCCTTAATTAATGTTGTGGGATTCTCATACAAAATGCATCTTGTGATACTGAAATTTCTGTCTGGTTTATTTAATCTAATATTGTAGGTTCTAGATACATCCATATTTCATCAAATGCCATCACTTCATTCTTTTGTGGATGAATATTATGGGCACACATCATAGGATTTTTAGGCTGGAAATTGAACTCAGGGTTTTAGCACTAAAATACATGCATGGGTTTTACTATATTTGTTTTGAAATGGTCGCATCAATCATTAGGATGCCAGGGAGAGCACGAATACACGATCTTCCTGCTTCAGCTTCCTAGAATACTAGGATTACAAGCATGTCATTTATGCCCAGGCCATTCCATTTTTCTTTAATCAACTCATGTGTAAATTGACATTTAAGCTTATTCCAGAGGTTAGCTTTTCTACATTGTGCAGCTACAAATATGTGGGGGTTTTTTTTGTGGGGGGGTGATATCAGAGATTGAACTCATGACCTCATGCTTGCCAGGTAGGTGCTTATGCCACTGAGCTAAATCCCTGGCCCTACAAATGTGCTTTTAATATGTTTACATTAACATCTTGAGGAATGTATGTAGTAAAACTATAGTGGGAATGGCTGGGTGTGGTGGTGTATGGCTGTAATCCAGCACTCAGGAGATTGAAGCAGGAGGATCACTGTGAGTTTGAGGCCAACCTAGGCTACCCTGTGAGATCCTGTCTCAAAAAGAAGTAGAGATGGATAAAATAAAATGTCTATTTTGGCATGAGTACCACTTATATTTCAGATATTGAAATACTTCAAATACTCAATTGTTAACATCAGACATATTCAATCGGTATATCCACTGACTGGATATACCGATTAAAGAAGTTTGAACATGGTCTTTTTTGTGTGTAATGTGCTTGGATTTACTATTCTGACATCTGAGGGAATTTCTTCTCTGAATACAAATTACCATAGATGTTTCTTGCAATTTTTGTATTCGCCTTCAATTTGCTGGTCATCTGACATCCCTCCTAAGGTGCAGAAACAGAAAAATGATGACTTACTACACTTAGATCAGTCGAATCTAATTCCATTCACACTACAATGTGACTATGCCTGGAAGATGCTTTCTACTGTTTCCATTTTCCCATTAAGCAAACCACACTGGTGAGCACCAGCCAATGTTCTCCAACTGCATGAATGACAAAATTATATCCTCCTTACCTATGGTAGCCAGGTTCCTAAAGGTTTCCAGCATCATATCTCTGTAGAGCTTCTTTTGGGATGGATCCAGCAAAGCCCACTCCTCCCTGGTGAAGTTCACAGCCACATCACTGAAGGTCACTGCTTCCTATATCATCAAAAAATATTTTCAAGAAGAGTAAGATACAAGCATGAACATTTTCAGCTCTACTCATAAAGCAAATATACAGTTTTCCAAATATTTTCTTATGTCTTGCTCATCAAACTGTTACTCTCTATCCATTTGCACTTGTCATACAGGAAATTTGATGCAACACTGGAATTTAGTGCTAACCCAACAGTTGAAAGGGAGCACTGCTTCTCTTGCTGGTTAAACTAGGATATACTTGTATAAAGGCACTAAAGCATGGTTATGGAAGGATCCTATAAATCAGAATCCAAGTGCAAAAATAGAACACTATCTGATGAATTACGCTAAAGGAGTAAATAAAATACAAAAGAAAATATCTTTTTTTTCAGCTTGTTATTTGGGGGATTGATTGTTTTCTTCTCTAATTTTATTTAAACAACATTTTAAAACTTCAAGCTGCTTTCATTGACAAAGGCTTAGATACTAAGCAGATGTATGAATTCTAATTTGGAGAGAGAATGAAAACAATTACCCTTTTTATTGGAGAGCATCTGAGAACTGTGAACTTAGACTAAGGAAGCCTTTTTATCCTATGGCTCAGTGACCTGAAAAGTGGCCTAAGAGGGGAAAATGGGAGATGGATATGATAAAAATAAACATGAAATATACTGACTACCAACACTTTGAAAACTTAACATGCACTAATAATAAATGACATAATCAAAGAAAAAATCTTTTCAGTACCAAACATACATGCAATGTGAACAACTTCTTTAAGATAAAGAGTTTCAAAATCCATTTTGAAGGATACTACTTATTTGAAAGAATGACAGACTAAAAATCTTCAATGGGCTGACATGTATGATAGAATATATCTTAGTTAACTTTTTTGTCACTGCTAAAATACTCACCACTTAAAATTAAGGTAGGTAAGGGTTATCTGGGTTCATGTTTACAGAAATTTCAGTGCCTGACAGGCTCCAACATAGGATGGCGTGGCACAGAGGGCATCACAGAGGAGAAAGAGCCCATGGCAGACAGAAGGCTGCATAAGTAGTAAGCAGTATGAAACAAACGACAGCAACCTCTTTCTGTCCTTACATTTTACCCACAGTAGCAGGACTCACAGCTTTAATCTAGCACTGTGTATCAAAGGCCAGCATCACACCGTAGATCCTGCCAAGTCCGAAATTCCCCAGCTGAGAGTGCATGAAGCTTTGGCAGAACATGTAGATACAGGACATAAGGCAATACTGACTCATTATAGAGCTCTTGTGTCACAAAGGAGCACAAATCACAGTATGTGTAATGTAGCAGACAGGGAGAAACAATTTCATCTTCATATCCCTTGTACAATACCTGATTTACCTCTTGAAAAGGGAAAGATAAACTGAGAATTCAGAGAAATGTCTTTTTGAAATCTCAGGTTTATGAATGTCAGTCATTTAAGGCTGGTGGGTGCATTGCTCTTCCTGGGATACAGTCAGAGTCAACAAGTCTGGGACAGTAGAACCAAGTCTGAGGGAGGCTTGTCACATCCTAGGAGAAGTACAGGGCACTCAAGCACGCACAGGAACCCATGTTTGACAAACTGCCATCAATCCCACAGGATCTGCTTTGGCAGAGTTCTTTCCAGTGGAGATTTCAGTGGGTAACTTCAGTAACTTTAGACATATTTACTGGCTCCTTGCCTCCTTCTTTGAAGTCAGCCAGGAAAGCAGTGAATACTGATCTAGGCTTCATCCTTTGTCACATTGCACAAAGTTGGAGAAGGAGTTTTCATCCAGACATCACAGTGGCAGGGTCTTTTGACTTCAGCCAGGCTTGAAGCCATCTAAAATAGGTAATATTCCGAGTACTAAACAGGCAGAAGGAATTGCTGAAAGCAGAGCAGGAGACTGTGGTGCAGGAGACAGAGCTGGTGGTGGTGTTACAGCCGGCCGACAGCTTGGGGTGATGAATGCAAGCAGGAGGAAGGTCTATTGGCAATACAAGATAAAAACTTTCTGGTTGGTTCTGAATCTGAGAGCCTCTCAGTCAGCTTTGTGGGCTTCTTTTGACGAGTACAATGGCTTTACTGTTGTGCAGGACACAGGTATAGAGCCAAGGTAGGAGAGTTTTAATCCTTTATGGCAATTGAGTCTAACAGAGCTGGCCTTTTATCTCAGGATTTTCCAAGGCGCTTATGGGAGCAAGTCACAAGCAGAGGAAAGCATCTTATAATTCTACAACATCCTAAAAGGGTGTATAGGTCAGGAACTGGGGTCTAAGGTGATGGATGCATTGTTCAGGAATGGAAATTTGCACAAGGTGATTAAGTTTATCATACTGAAGCATAGTTAGAGTCCAGTTATTGTTCCCATGACATCTGACAGCAATGGGGATAATAGTGAGGTGACATGGCTGATGGCAAGGCATGGTCGTGAGTCTTCAGTTCCTATCTCTGTGGGGAGAGTTTTCACAACTTCAGGGTTATAGTTATCTGCCTCAGGCTAATGCAGGCACTATCTATTCTTGCGAAACAATTCAAAGTTGAAAGTGCAGGGTTAAATGAGAGGGAGGCTGACTAGCTTGGTGCAAAGGATACATCCTCCCAGCTTCAAGTTTGTGCCAGGCAGAAGGGGCAAGAAGCAAGAGCCCAGTTACTCCAGTGACGGATGCTTTCTGACAGAGGAACCTTTAAAGACGGAGAGTTCTGTCCCACTGTCTACCAGGAAACTCACTAGTTTCCCCTCACCTTTTGGAATGACTATGGGTTTTCTGGGACCCAATTTGATAGAGTTCAGTATATTCTATCTATTTAGGCTTGATAAGGAGCAACTCATTTGTCAGGGCTGACAGTCTTATTTCCCTCAGTCAAAATGTGTAACACAGAAGGAATTGTTAAGAGTCGCCTTGGATGGCTGTTAGATGATGCCATCTGACCAGGCTAGGCATGTCTCCAGGGAACCTGTGTGGCAAAATGCAGTCAGTAAACTGGAACTGGTTCGGTTGGCTGGAAGTAGATAACTTTTGAGCAGGGTATCCAACTGCAGTGGCTTGCAAGGGTGCCAATGTGGAGTTCTCAGGAAGAATGGGCTATTATCAATTTTTTTCTTTGAGATTCAAGTAGCAGGTTGGTTTTATTTTTAACTCCATAAAAGCCCTGTGTCTTGCAATGAGAGACTGTGAGTTTTAACTAATTAGTTGCCATTCCATCTCCCTATGGTGTATGTTGTGTATCTTTGAATGATATTGCAGCAGGCTAAGGGTGGTTGCCCCTCTGAGAGACCATTCAGATGTCTGCCAGACCATGCCTCTCACGGAGACTTAGTGCAACTCAACTTAGGGGGCTGTGAGCTCACTGTTAAGCCATATGTCAATCACCACAGAACCACAGGTGGGGGTCCAATCAGCCTCTGCAATCAGTGTTCCCCAATCTTAGTGCACAGACAGAGCAATCTATGGCTCATACTATAGAGCAGCCTATTGCTTACACTTCCATTCCACTCACATGATCATTCAGCAGGTGCTCAGAGGTTACATATTCCTACCCACCTTCCCTTGAGGGTGGCCTTACTAAAGGGAGTTAATCAAGCTGTTCTTCTGCTTAAACTGAGCGAGAGTGACTTACAGACTAACTGGGGGTAGTATCAGAATCAAGCAGGCAGGCGGTCAGAGAGACAGACTGACAGACAGGCAGATTGTGTCCTCCTCCCTTTGGGGTCTGATGTGAGCCATTTGAGTGGAGAGCCAAGAATCCTTCTCCAGATCTGAGAGGACTCCAGAAGTCTTGAGTGTGCACCTTTCCATCAAGACCTGGAATGTCCTTGCTCCATCCACAGCATGACTGGTCTTCCCAGCTACTGCACCAGATGCAACCATAGGCAGAAATACCAAAACAACCCCCAGGATTTGTAGGTAGATTTATTTATGTGACAGGCACTGACAAATATCAGTTCCAAAATATCAGGCCCTGATCTCTGGTGGCCTCTTGAATATATGACAGAATCAAGTAGGAAGTACAGAGGCAGAATGTCTTGTCAATTGGGGATCATAGTGCATCACTGGGGACCAATGTGCACCATAGTGACCAGCTATGAATCTCAGTGACCAGACATTTCCAAGAGACGGAAACAGGATCTGGAATAGAAACTATTAATTTGGCAACTGGGAGGAACAATTTCTGCTGTAATACAATGATTTTCTATGTAATTACTATAGAACTCATTTACTGACTATTGCAAAGTGGTAAAAATAAAATTAAACTGTTAGTGACACTTAAAGTGCCAACTACACATTTAGTGAATCCATAAGCAATGGCACAGTAAAGATTACAGTATTTTCCATTGGGAAGACAAAGATGAGCCTAACAAGATCTACAGTGGATGCTCTTAACACTGCCCAAAGCTCAGTTGTAAAACATTCTGAAGGTTCCCATGATAAATAAATTGGTATGATTGTTAAACTCACCATAGTTTTTTTTTGAGAATAATTTTAATTGAAAAATATATAAACATTAAATTACCACATGAAGAAATTTATCCTTGCTTTGATACTTTCTAACATGGGAAAATGAGAGGTAATTTACAGTCTGAGCACAGCTAACAAAGCAGTACATTTGCAAATGTGAGATCTGCAGACACCCAGCAAGCAGCAAGCAGTGCACAAGCTGCACAATGGACACCAGGAGGAGGTTAGAATAAAACATCAGAGAAGGACAAGGCAGATATTAAACTAATGAATGAATAAACTTCTTACTTGTGCTGCAATATCCTATGTGTCCTTGAGAGAAGTGACTTTCATGGTCACACATGTGAATTAGGTTGCAGAAAACTATGAAGAACATTACTCACTCACCTGAGGATTCTAGTAGATTAGGGTAGGACTCTCAATCATGTGTAAAGTGTACTGAGTGAAAGAAGCTATGGAGAGCCCTTCCCAGACCTCATCACAGTTCAGGGAGTTTATATTTCTAACCCGATGGAAAAGTTACTAGAATTCTAGTAATTTAATTCCAATCTACCACTTCCAATGTA